GACCATAGCAGTCTACCCTGAGGATAAAATTGGGCTTTGCTTACAATTTATAGTACAGTCAGCCTCAAATAGTTCGTGACACCCAAAGTAGCCAAAAAGTTCTCAACGCGTCTTTGTTACAGTCAGGTTAAGTAGTTCGTGACACCCAAAGTAGCCAAAAAGTTCGCAACACGTCTTTGTTATTTGGAATATGGTTGTGTTGTCCACTTTTTGGCCACTTTGGGTGTCACGAACTATTTGATGCTGACTGTACTAAGTATGATATTGTTTGTATAATTTTCTTCCATATAGTTTTGTGATTGCCATTATCCTATTTTACCCGACTGCGCCAGAAGGCGGGTTATGTTTTCTCCGGTATTATTTTAGATACAGTGGCACTTACACGTGACAACCTATTAGACATTATTTTTTACACTAAATACAACACCAAGGGCTTTCAAAACCACTGAGTAAAGTTCTGAGTGAGTAATTACTTCCTGATTAACGCCCGTATTCACAAACATTACTATAAGGCCTCACAGTACGCGTGGACGCAATTTTACGTTGCTACTCGTGACTTTAACCTTTAACTGGTGACATGGTTTTTGTGTAACGTAACTGGTGACGTGCGGTCTGAGAGGCCGCTACCGTATCAAGACTGTAGCATAGAAAGTAGGTAAGGTAAGCATACCTAAATCTTTAAAAACAGATTATTAGCATATAGAACAATTAAATTAAAATAAATTAACAAACTCTAGATATCATTTTTAATGCAGAACTTGCTATTAAATTATATGTAGTAATAAAAATCAAAAAACTAGAGATGAGATCGATAATCGCAAAAAAAGAAATTTGAATGAACAAATTATAACAAAAATAGTATTTTTTATTATAGTTAAAATATTAATCAATTTAAAAAAAACCTATCACACGTAGGTAACCTATAATTTTAGAAAACTGGCAGTGGTTAAACTTTTGTTTTTTTTTTTATTGGCTGTCAGGGCATTCATTGTTCGGCATAAAGGTGGACCGTCATTTTCACTTTCTGACTGATTTTCATCAATTGGTCCTTCATCTTCAAAAACACTTTCTTTGGCTTTCTAATCATGGTCACTTTGCTCCAGAACGATGTTTTCAGGAACATAAATTCAGCTTCCGACCCACTTGAGTCTTCCTTTTCCAGATATTTTTCAACTGGCAAATTTTCAAGTCGTTTCATGAAGTATGGCACTATATTCCCAACAAATGATCTTACGCTTCTTTTTTGGAGTTATTTAAATATCAATTGCAAGTAAAAACTGTAAAAATACCAAAAAATTGTATGAAAAAAATGTTACGTAACTGGTGACATGCGGTCTGAGAGACCGCTGCTGAACTTTACATCGATGTAACTTGCCGATTTGGAGCTAAATTATGCAAATATCCTTATCTACGGCGTAGACACAACTAAACTTGAAGCTACTGAAGCGGTGAAATATAGGAAGAACGGGGAAGGGGGTGAAACGATGTTTCACTGATGCCGCCCGGCCTGTGAGACCGCTTGTCACCAGTTAAAGGTTAAGCAACAAGTACAGCAGCGTCAAATAGTTCGTGACACCCAAAGTGGCCAAAAAGATGACAACACAACCTTATTCCAATTTTATTGTAACAAAGACGGCTTGCGAACTTTTTGGCCACTTTGGGTGTCACGAACTATTTTATGCTGACTGTACCTTGCCCGTTTGACTCTTTACTCGGAGAATGAGATGGTGAACGAGGCCCCAAGTGTTAAAAAAAAAAATACTCACTTATAAACAATCAGAGTAGGCGCACACCGTTGATTTTTCGTCGGCCGATAGTTTAGTCGGGCAGTTGATCAAATCCCACCACCACCCATGGCCATACCAACCTCGCGGTTATTGTGGCCGAATCTTGAGAGATGCGCGCGGAATTGCGGCTGCCTACGGCAGATTGCACTCCACCGGGCGCAATTCTTGACTCTCTACAAGTTCTTTAATCTTTGTCCATTTGTCCCTTGCCACTCTCCCCCTTCTGGGGCATGGACTCCACTATCACGTTGGCACCATCCGGTGCCTGGCCGCTAGGCGTCTGTCCGTTCCGCCTTCTGTGCCACGCGTGCGCGAAACCTCGCAGCCGCGCGAAGTTCGCCTCCGAGCTGACTAGATCGGGGTACCACGCAGGACCGTAGCCCTCCGAGAGCGCTATCCCACTCAGCATCTCACACCGCAGGTCTTCATACAGGGGACAGTACCACAGAACGTGGTGCCTGTCCTCCTCACTCTCGCCGCACTCACACATACTCCCCTCTCGCAGTTTCATGTCGGGCAGTTGATCAGTATGGACATGTATGGGAGTGCGCACACTACGCCGATTCGATTTGGCCGATTCTTCATACAAATTAAAATCGGGCACAACTATCGGCCAACTAACAATTAACTTTTTAAAAAAATAAAACCGACTTCAAATGCGTGAACACGAAAAAAAACTAAAAATTAAAAATATTGCGTATAAAAAAGTTCATCCCCAATTTTCCACCCTTGGGGGTGAAATATTTTCTTCAAATTCGCATGAAACCACCTTTTTGATAATACCTATTCAACAAAAAAATAATCGTTCAAATTGATTTATAATCGGCGGAGATATTGAGTATAAAAAAGTTCATCCCCAATTTTCCACCCTTGGGGGTTATTTTTTCTATTATTAAATTTAAATGGGACCACCCTTGAGGTATTACCTATACGCCGAAAAAAGATTTGTTCAAATCGGTTCATAATTGGCGGAGTTATCGCGTAACAAACATAGAAAAAAAAAACATACGGGTCGAATTGAGAACCTCCTCCTTTTTTGAAGTCGGTTGAAAAAAAATCAATGGTGTGCGCCTACTCTTATAAACAATCAATCGTCAATTTTGGCATCAAACAGAAACAAAAGAAAATCTGAAGCCCATGAAAACAAACGAACATCAATGCTGTTTAAAATGTTACACGAGTCGTATGGTCGGTCAAGTTGATAGTATTGTTTATATTTTTCTAGATTTTACGTTAGATACCTTCTAATTAAAAGCTAGATCTGATTCAGACGTTTATCAAAAAGGTAAAATGAAAGAACAAAAGATTAATTAGATAGTGGCTAACTAAGTAATTAGATAATTTGTAGTTTAGTGCATTATCACAAAAAAAATCAAAATAATGCATTCTGTGGGAAACCTCACCGCGGGTCAAGTTAAGAGTGGGCCCATTCGACGTAAGAGTCTGATTTTCACAGTTATTTTTTTTTATAGGAGTGTCAGCATACCAAGTGCAATCATCATCATCATCATCTCAGCCATAGGACGTCAACTGCTGAACATAGTAGGCCTTCCCCAATGCTTTCCATGTTACCCGGTTGGTAGCGGCCTGCCTTTAGCGCTTTCCTGCTACTTTTATGATCTCGTCGGTCCACTGAGTGTAATGATTTGGTGCAATTTTCGGCATAACACGGCGTTATCTATCTCTACATCAGATACCAAGATATAAGACGCCTCACAGCTATGGTAAACAAACAACGAATACTCATTATGAACCAGATCCAAATAAAGCAAAGGTTGGCTCGCTGGTGATTAGGTACACAATTCACACGTTTTTGGTCTTCTTTTGTACGGTCTCAGGGTCTCTAGACAATGTAATATTTGTAATCGATTTCGATTCTGATGCATCTACCATTTAGGGACGTAGCGAAGCGATTGATCGATTCAGAAAGATACAAAGATACTTATGCCCGTTTTCACCATCAATCCCTATTTTTTTAGTGACCCGTATGGTAACACATAACATTAATTTTGTTTTCATAGGGGTCACTTAAAAATTAGGGATTGATGGTGAAAACGGGCATTAGTCCCATGCAAAATGGGAACCGCCATTAGAAAATTGTTGTTTACTGATTGTGTCTTATTTAATTTTATGAATCGAAGCCCAACTACAGCGTAGAAAATGCATGGGAACAACCTAATGAAAAATTAAGTAATCAAACTTTTATTTAAACAAATAATAATTCGAGAGTTGAACTAAAAATATTATTTCAATTTGAAAATGTTAATACTTAAGAACAATATGATTTTTCTGTCTAAAAGTGTCCAACCAAAACATTATTTTATCCATGACCATAATTATACGCCGTCCATTTGTATATCTACGCATTTGGTGTTCCATACAAGGCGCTACTTAATAAACTAAACAGTTGTAAAACTGGTGCTTCCAAGATATTAATAATTATGTAGAAACCACTTCAAATAAAATACCATAATTTATACCATACCACTACCGTATTGGAATATTATACGGTTAAATATCACAATCTAGAATGCTTAAGGAAGTTATTTTTCTTGATATAGGTACATAAGTATGTAACTTAGGTGAAAACATATTATTTATTGACCTTGAAGACAAGAAAATAACAATTTATCCTTTAATTGAACAACGGTGTAGATTGACTCAAGTGTTTTTACAATTTATAACTGTAAATAAGTATTTCTTCAGTCAAACGCATGTAGGTACTCAGTTGATCACATAATTAAATGTAACATTACAATACTGTAGGGTGTAGGTATCACATATTAAAACTTTTTAATATGTTAGTTTAAAAACTACAATATCACAAAACAAAAATGAACCGATCAATAAATAATCCACATAAATTAGAACATTATAAACAGAGCGAAAGGGATGGGCATGGCCCTTCTGTACATTTCCAAAAAGTTATTTTCTGATGGTAGAAAAAATGATGGGTATCACTTAAAAAAAACAATGTAACTCCGACCGAAAGCTCTGACCAAAAAAATTTAATATGAGGAAAAACTTTACGCATTGTTGAACACTTGAGCTTTTAAAATTTGTCATAACACGAAAAAAACTATCGATATTAAAAACAAAAACTTCACCAAAACACATCAAAAAACTCAAACACAGTCAAATACTTAGCATTTTTTAACTTAAACATACTTTTAATACGATCGATAATCGAAAGAAATAAGGAAGTTTTCATACCCGCACCCGCGTGGCGTAGAGCCGTGTGTCTGCGCCTAACTGACTCACGAGAGGCGCGCGCGCAGCGATCTGTCTCGGGCTCGTGGCCACAACTAATTTGTGATGCAGTAAGCTCTATCATCATGAAGATTGGCCTCTAGATTGATTACTAACCCTATACAGGGTGTTAGGTAAATGGGTATATGAGCCGACACTAGCCCATGTTAGCATGGGCATATAAATGGTATGGTGAAGTCAGAAAATTGATATCTTCATTTTAATTATTTGAATTTCCATACAAATCGGAATTTATAAAATTTATTTTGTATGAAAATAAAAAAATAATAAAATGATGATATCAAATTTCTGACTTCACCATACCATTATGCCCATGTTAACATGGGCTAGTGTCGGCTCATATACCCATTTACCTAACACCCTGTATAGGCTAAATATCCATACGGGACTTATCGCATCATACTTTCCCACCACTGCAACTCCTGTATGCCCAGGATATACAGCTTAGCCTCCAACGAAACCCAACCAGTGAAGGTCTGGCTATCCAAAGTAGTAGGTTGTCGTTAAAAAGTTGTATCTTTTAGTCATGTTTCAGACTAGGTATTGATATTTAATGAAGGTTTTCGCGATTGAAAAATCCGCCAGATTGCGGGACGCGGACGTGGGGTCCGACCGCTGCGTGATTGGTGGATTTTGACATATCTGTCAATGTCATGTCAAAAATAACCAATCACGCAGCATCTGGACCCCGCGTCCACGTATCGCCATCTGGCGGATCCTTCAATCGCGAAAACCCTCATTGTAATAGACTACGACTCTACCCAAAAAAGTGGTTACTTAAAGTTCCAAAAATTATTGTTTATCCATAACGGAGAAGCTCTTGGCTTACATCTTAAGGACGGAAAATTATAGGCCACTTTTTTGTGTAAGCAATAATTCAATGTAGATTCCCTTTTTTCTGTTTTTCCAAACACTCACTACTTGAAAGTTTCAAGTGTAAAGTTAGTCCTACATCATATTTATTAGTCTAACAAGCTTCCCCTGAAATATATCAGCTAGAACAAAATAATTTTTCAATTTGAGCGCCATTCAGGACTTGCAAATCACTAGACTAGAGGTATCGCGTAGAGTATATTTTTTCTTTTTTTTATCCACAACGAGGAAGCTCTTGGCTTGTATCTCACCTCATGGTAAGTGTAAGTTCCCATTATTCAAACAGAGCGAGCATTCTCCATCTCCTTGTCTTACGACGAGCGAATTGTCTTGGGCTTCGCCTTGACCTTTCCGGGGTTAGGACAGCCCAGTTTTTGTGCGAATGGGTTTCGGTACTTGACTGTACACTGTTTTACATTTTACGCAGGTAATATGACAAATTGTGTTGTCTTAAATTCATTCTAAGCGGATGTCATGAGGCGACTAAGGGACGTGCGAACTTCAGGCCTCCACCACCCGTCTAACCAGTAAAGAATGTAGGCCAGATTTTTTTTTTCATTTCAACTTCAGGACGTCCACTACTTAACATAAGCCTTCCCAAATGGTTTCCATGTTGACCTTATAAACCAACCAGTAATTTATTATGGAAATTCTGCATAGTCTGTGTTAAATTAAAGTGTCGATCTTCTTCTTCTTGTCGTGTCGACAATAAACCTATACAGTGTCAGCCCAAAACTCCGCTACAAAAGTGGCGTTGTCAGTAGCATTCATTAAATCTTCCTACGTGCCGTTGATTGGGCAGGTAAACGTTGTTAAGGTATCGTTTTTGCAGATTGATTGACTATACTTTGTTATGAGTGTCGTGCTTGATGTTCGTCAAAACATTGCTCGAGTTTTTTATCATGTTGAAAAATGATCGTTTCTTAGTTTGGTTGCAAATGTCGGATTTATTCTAAGATTGAGATTTTATTATAAGATTCTGGGCATCAAGTATGTCTGTCACGAACCTCTCATACAAGTCAGCCTGTGCCATTCTGGCTATGATCCATAANCTCGTGCGTTGTGGTCATAGTTCTAACCTAACCTAAACCAATAATTATGAATAGGACCGATTCGATTCTGGAACTTGACTGAATGACTGGAGCGGGACTCTGGCTTCGCTCGCTCGGCTCGTGCGTTGTGGTCACAGTTCTAACCTAACCTTAACCAATAATTATGAATAGGACCGATTCATTTCTGGAACTTAACTGAATGACTGGAGCGGGACACAAGTATACGTGCTAAAGCCAACAAACTTGAACTTTAATATATCGTCAAAGAAAGAAATCTAAACAAAAAAGATATGACTTTGAATAATAGTGTAAAATATAGTTATGTTTAGAAAATCTAGGAGAACAAATAAAAGTATACTAGATGTTTATTGCTAATGACATTATGAAGTTGAATGATTCGGAATTATGAACATTAGAGACAGAGTAGTTAGGAATTGTGATTGTTAGGATGAAAAATTTTAGGAAGAACATTTTCGGACTTCCAATTTTCGGAGTTGAAAATTTAGCTGACTACCTAAAATTCCAAACTTTCTTTGTCCATAACGGAAAAGTTGTTAGCTTACATCTCAAGGATGGAACATTATAGTTAAACTCTGTTACAGGCCACTTTTTTGTGTAAGCAATAATTCAATGTAGAGTAGATTGCCAATTTCCTGACTGTTTTTCCAAAAACTCTCTACTTGAAAGTTTCAAGTGTAAAAGTTAGTCCTCCATCATAATTTACCTAGTAGTGCTTCTTGCCCGCCCTGGAATAAAACAGCTAGTTTCAAAAAGTAATTTTTCAATTTGTGTCCCATTCAGAAATTGTACCTTGAACATGCAGATCATTAGAGGCATCGTGTAGAGTGAGCATTCTCCATCTCCTTGTCTTACGACGAGCGAATTGTCTTGGGCTTCGCCTTGACCTTTCCGGGGTTAGGACAGCCCAGTTTTTGTGCGAATGGGTTTCGGTACTTGACTGTACACTGTTTTACATTTTACGCAGGTAATATGACAAATTGTATTGTAGATTCATTCTTATGCGGATGTCGTGAAGCGATTAAAAGACGTGTGAACGTCGGACCTCCACCACCCGTCTGGTCAGTAGGGAGTGTAGGCCAGATTCTGTTTTTTTTTTCATTTTAACTTCAGGACCCCACTCCTGAATAAGGCAAAAATGTCCATCAAATTGATCTCATAAAGACAGTAGGAAGGTACTAGATACACGCCGCATCGAACTGGCCAATATGGAAATTCTGTATTTGTCTAGTAAATCAAAGTGTCGTTCTTCTTCTTGTCGTGTCGACAATAAACCTTATACAGTGTCAGCCCAAAACTCCGATACAATAGTGGCGTAACATTTATTAAATCTTCCTGCGTGCCGTTGTTTGGGCAGGTAAACGTTGTTGAGGTATCGTTATTGCAGATTGATTGACTATGAATGATTAATTCATAGCATACTTTGTTATGAGTGTCGTGCTTGATGTTCGTCAAAACATTGCTCGAGTTTTTCATCATGTTGAAAAATGATGGTTTCTTAGTTTGGTTGCAAATGTCGGATTTATTCTAAGATTGAGATTTTATTATAAGATTCTGGGCATCAAGTATGTCTGTCACGATCGTCTCATACAAGTCAGCCTGTGCCATTCTGGCTATGATCCATAACTGAGTAGGTACAACCTTAATAGGCCGGTAAAGTCGTGAGGCATTTGCAAATACCTAGTTAGTAGTTATTATTCTTCTGCCATGTGGATTGATTTTTTTCACTAGTACCATCTCACAACAAGGAAGCTCTTGGCCTGCATTGCACCTAATGGAAAATGATAATGAAGGTGGAAGCAAGCTTCTCCCGGAGTCCTCGACCACAGAGGAATTAGCTGTCTTTTTTCCTACTCCTGAAACACAGGAATGCTGTTGACATTGTTGATATGGCGACAGATTCAGGTAAAATGGTGGTAGAGTCAGGAATAGTCCAGAAAAAATTACCCCCAATGGAAATCGAACCCTGGGTTTCTGGTCTGATATATGGACTACTAGACCACAGAAACTACTTGGTCACAACTACAACTTCGCGGGTTTGATCCCGCGATCTCTAGCATTAGTAGTCTGTATGTGAAACAGAAGACCAGACCACCGTCTATGGTTTTAAATGTTTTTACCAGATGTAAATTCCAAAAAGTCTATAGGTATACGAGTAAAGTTTAATAGTAGTAAAGAGTAAAGTAATTCATCATTTGTTTTAGTAGATGCCTCTTTTAAGAAAGCAGTTAGTAAAAATGACAGCACAATACGACATAATGACCATCGTTATCTATGTATAACTGTTTACTGTAGTAGAGCAAAGACCTCCATTATTGGAATTACCCATCTCATACAAGATGTCTGCCGAATGCGGGCGTGTATGGGCCCATACAAACGAGAGTTTTAGGAAAATCGTCACGAATTTCAACTTAATCACCTAGGTCGTAAAATATAACGAGCGTTTTATGGTGTCAGAGTTGATCAAATAAGCCTAAGCGCAGACCAGCGACTTTTAGTTGGCCGATAGTTGGGTCGGGCTGTTAATCAGTATGGAGATGTATGAAAGTGCGCACATTACACCGATTTCGTATCGGCCGATTCTTCAAACAAATTAAAATCGGGCCCAACTATCGGCCAACTAAAAGGCGATGGTCTGCGCCTAGGCTAATATTGTTACTTGTAATATCTATGTCCATCCCAATAAAATTTGCCTGTGAAGGCACAGTCGACAACAAATTAATTTTTTGTCTTACAAAAGTATACTCTACGATCAAGATAAAAACCTTTTTCATCATCATCATCATCATTTCAGCCATAGGACCACCACTGCTGAACATAAGCCTCCCCTAATGATTTCCACAATGACCCGGTGGTTGCTGCCTGCATCTAGCGCTTTCCTGCTTTACGACCTTTATGAGATCGTCGGTCTACCTTGTAGGTGGATGAAAACCTTTTTACATCAACTTATAAGTTGCATTATACCGGTATCGAAACCACAGAACTGCGTTGTAGCATATGAAAATGAATAATATAATGATGTACCGTTACCATTTTACGTTCGAACGGATTTATGGAATGTTTTCTAGTTCTCACTC